CATGAATTCACACATATTGGACGTCAAAATACTTATTTTATATTAAAAATTTCATAACAAGGGTTCATCTACATCCTAATTATTATAAATTTAGCCTAACATATGTAAAGTGCAAGAAAACATATTAATTCTATAAAACATCATTCCGATTATGAATTTTGTTGACCTAGTTTTTTGCTCTGTTGACGTGGACAACAGATATCGAGCTCATCCGTGTCCTCGCAAACTAATTCTAAGATGTCTAGACATATTACTAGTCAATAATATTTCAGATTTGAATGTGAGATAAGTTTTATAACACAAGACAAATATGTTCGGGTGTCAACAAGATGTATGAGCGAAATTGCACGATAAAGAACGATTAACAAAAATCAAACTAAAGATCAAGATCAAATATCTAACTTTAGCAATAAAAGATCAAACTAAGAAAGAGAGAATATCAATATTGTAGTTGATATATCGCATCCCCCTCAACACAAATGAGGGATATTTATAGCGTTACATGTGAAATGATAGCCATTGGATGAGAGGATACGTGGTCTCATCTCCTTAACTGATGCATTTTATCCTAGATATCAATTTTGACTCTACTAGCCTACGGCGCAGTAAATATCACCAAAAAGGGGGTAGTCACCTTATAACCCATGCTGACAATACTTATTTTTTTACTTATTACAAAAGTCTAACCAATCATTCCAACAAGATTTCATGAATTCAAAATCTTCAAATGTGGGTCATCACTTGTCTTGATTGAATTTCAGATTCTATTTTGTTGAACCTCACCACTTCAATACAAAGGCTTCCACAGAGCCTCGAATTTAGCTTCGATTAAGGCGATTCGGCAGACGCTTCGGTAGATCAGAGTGGATCGGATTTAATGGGTTTTGGTAAGTTCTTTGCACTCCATGTGGGATGCCACGTGACTTGGTAGGTCGGCCAAGTAGGACACATAATAATTTTGATGAATAACGAAGAATAATTTTTATGTTCTTTAATTTATTCAATGAAATTTTGATGAATTTTCAATTGTTTCTTCAATTATTTGGTGAAAAATAAGATGAATTCTTCCATTGATTTAGTTCTTGCACTTGCTCCTTGATTGTATCTTACAATATTATGAATTTGTCTCTCTTTTGATATATGAATTGATGGAATTGTGGATGAAATATATGTATGAGAGGTGTCTGTAATGTATTCTGTTGTTAGGTACTTGTAGGAGTCGAAAATTGGTTGAAAATCATATCCAAATTGATTTTAAAAGAGTTTTAATCGAATAAGAAAAGTTGCATTCCCGGTGCATGTTTTTGCCTCTATACAACATTCAGTATTTTGGTCATAATTTTCTTTCTCGGTATCCAATTGAAGTAATTCAAAGTATGTTGAAAATCTAACTTAAAGTGATACAACGTTTCTAGAAATATAATTTTTCCAATTCAGACATTTACTATGTAAAAAATGGGTCTCAATTTTTTACTAAAAAATTGGAATATAACTCGTGCAATTGAAAATTGATTTGTTATAATATTTTGATCACATTCTATTTCTTTTTTACTTCTAATTCCATCAAATTATCTACTAGCAATTTTCAAAGTATAGTCTTGTGGTACGAATCAACTATTGAATATTTTCACTTTGGTCCTCAAACCTTGGACTTTGCTATTTTTCGCTTTTTTCTTTTAATTCCACATTCAATCGTCGAGTTTTACATAATAAATGAAATATACAATAAATTAAGCTATAATTGCTCAAAAGAACTATTAAATGTCTATATTTTTATCAAGATCTACTAAAATTAGATTTTTTTAGTCACGCCAAGGACTAATTTATTTTATTTTATTTTTAATGGTACGACCCCACTTAACTGAAAAATATTTAACATTTTTAGGTACCCAATATTGTATAAAAATTATCAAGTGGAGTGGGATGATGATCTGATAACGGGAAACAGGTAAGGACCTTGCTACTTGTACAAAAGAATTTGTACAAAAATGTTGACAAACCCTCACATGTGGGGGGCCCACTTTTCATTTTCAATTTTTTATTCANGGGGGCCCACTTTTCATTTTCAATTTTTTATTCATGTGGGGCTGACAATCATGTGAGTGTTTGTCAACATTTTTGTCAAATTTTTTTTGTATAAATAGTTTTATTCAACAGGTAAATGAATGGAAGAGAACAAACAGATCCATGCATTGGTACATAATTATTTATATATGCTGACAAATTAGCCAGGTGAAGCTCACATTGGATGCCGTCAAGGTGTCAAACTAGTTTTGATGTCGGTTCTGGCAAATTGTCATATTGCACGTGATCGAATTGATTCCCTATGAAGGTCAGATCTATGATGATCAGATCAAGGATGCGCTCTTTCGAGATTTAGAAATTTAAGTAGCTCATGTTTGATACACATTCTTTTAAAATACATTATTTTTAATTACATATTTTTCGATAAAATAATATTTTACATTACATCAATAACGTTTTCTTACTTTTTAATCATATATTTCTCATCATATCACTATTTAATACATTCTTTCCTCGTCCTCTGTTTGGAAGGCATTATTACAAGTAGGAGAATGTGAAATTGTACCGTTGGAACGTGCAATTCAAAAAAAGTGGGAGGTGAAAGTCAAAAAAAAAAAGGGCCAAGTGGGGTCTTTCGACGGTACAATTTTTTCTAAAAATGAATAAAAAATGTGGAACACACGGAAACTCAATAATATCAATCAAACACGTATGAAGTCTTGTTTGGTATCGATTAAAATTAAAATTAAAATTAAAATCAATATTAACGATTAATTTTCAACACACATTTTATGGGTCCCACAACTTTTCAATTACACATTTCATCAACTTCTATCAAAATCTACTAAAAATTTGATGTTGATCTCGACCAAACATGGACTTATTATGTTTCACTGTACTTCTTGTCTTCGAATCAGATGATTTACTCTTCCTTTGTAGGAGATTTTGTCGTCGTCTTCTTCTAACTATAGAACTTTTCTCATTATTAATTTGAACGAAAAAATTGTTACCGTGTTAATTCGACTTTAAGATTAATGTGTCCAAGTCTTGTCCACCTAGTAGTACTTGAGGATACATAATGGTTCGATATTTATAAATAATTTATGAACACAAGTTATAGATAGGCTAAATTTAAAAACTTCATTTTTGGAAAAGTAAGTAATAAAAAAATTGATTGGAATAGTCATATTTGATAAAGTAAATAACTTAAAAAATAAAATTACAGCAACAAATAATTAATAAATAAACCAAAACACAAGAATTAAAGTGCATCGGCGTGTTATTAAAATTAAAACTTGATCTTGACCTTTATTATTTATAATGCAATATTCCAAACACGGACTTGATTTCCTTCGGTGCAAATATTTTCTCATAGCGCTTGTTTGTCTCCTCATTTTTAAGATAAATTTTTTTTTTCCTGTCGAAGGAACAGTACAATCATTTGCAATAGAATTCACTAAGGCAGACTTTATTTTCCAGGAAATTAAGAAAATATTTTTCACTTTTCACTTTTTTGGTTGTTTAATAGACAAAATTTTCCACGGAAAATATTTTCAGGGTTTCGCCCACACGTGTGCATTTTTCGAGTTTTTGAGGAAAAAATTTTCTAGGCTGGCTGCAAAAAAAGTTTTTTTTTTTGACAATGAAAACAAATGTCATAATCAATGGTAAAATAAAATTTCATTTTAATGGATAATTTCCATGTAAAACAAAGTTAAATAAATACTAAACTTTGATGCAAAAAATAATTTTTTAGAAAACAATTTTTTTTTCCATTTTTTTTTTTTGAACTTTTTGCCAATAGAAACAAATTTTATAACTAATTTTGGAAAAAATTATCACTTTAATAGACATTTTAAATGTAAAAAAAGCCAAACGAATAAAAAATTTAAAAAATTTTCGGGTGAATAATTATACCAATCAAATACACTTAATTAAAAATTCTTTGTAAAATATTTTTTAAACAANTGAGGAAAAAATTTTCCCACGTTTTTGGTGGGAAAAATTTTTCAGGTTGGCTGGAAATTTTTTTTTTTTTTTTTTTGACAATGAAAACAAATGTCATAATCAATTGTAAAAAAAAATT